TTTTATTATTTAACGTACCTCTTGTGGAGCTACTTCTCATCAGTTAGTTGCGAAGTGCAGAGTGAATAGAGTGCATTTACCACATTGTATAGGGAAGTGAAATTGTAAATTTACGGATCTGCTAAAGATGCTTTGCCCAGTTTCGCTTCAGAGATTTCAATCTTCGAGAAGGCATAACAATTCGCGGCCTTTGTTGGAATGTAACTTGTATCTAACCGCTTTGCAATTGCAAAAGAGGATGGCGGCCACGATTCGCTTGCTGAGGAACACATAAAATAGTCTTCAAATTAAAACTTTTCTTCCAACCCAATATATATCAAAAATCCTCAACTTTACGTGCATTATGAACATTCTTGTCAACCTAATATGCCTTAAACACTTTCAACTTCAGATGTTTTATAAACTTTCCTGAAAGCCTAACACACAGTGAATATCTTCCCGTTCAAGTTCATATGTTTTATTTAAAATATGACACAACCTTTCTGCCAAAGCAATACATATCAAACATCTTCAAGTTCAACTTCATCTATTTTCTTTAAAATACGACAGAACTCAGCAACGATCTTCATATTAACTAACTAAGGTCTACATCAAGTTTGATATAGTAATGAATAATGTTTTTATCAATTTTTGCGTTAATTTAAAAAAATTTTTTTTTCACGTTACGACTTGATTGCAATCGAAAAAAAAATCGTATTAATTTTTGTTTCAGTCTTTTGTAAAGGGGCGTCTACGAAACATACACAGCAGCTTCGAATATTTTGATATAATTTCGTTTATTTTTCTCAAGTTTTCGCGAGTGTTGTTCTAATAATATCAATAACAAGCAAATGAATTAAAGTGTTTTAAAAATTTTCAAATTTTCAACATTTTTTCATTTTTTTCGTCGGTGATGGATATAAAAATATTCATTTTATAAATGAATTTGTTGTTTTTTCAGTTTTCTTTAATTATTAATTTTTGTTTTTTTTTTTTTGCAAAAGTCTCGGGAATTTATGGGTATGTGAAGGAGTAAGTGTACGCGGTTGTTTGTGTATGCATGTGTGATTTAAAGGAATTACTTTAATTTTTCATAATATGTAGAAAGAGTTCTTTTTTTTAAGTAAAATTTTTTGTTTTATAAAAACTGGAAAATGTATATATATTTTTTTATAATTCTTTTGTGACAGTCCTTTCGATTTCCAGCGTATTTCACAAACTTGTAGTTTGTTAATTGAAAATGTAAAAAAAAAGAAAGTTTTTTTTTTAATATGTATTAAACTCAAAATCATTAGAAGACATTAGCGGTAAAAAATAGGTACACATAAATGTGATATTAGTAGATATAATATAAATGACTTAATTAAGAAAGTAAAAATATTTTGATTAAAATTTTATTTTTCACTTTCTGCTTTTAAAAATATTACACATATGCTAAGCACTTTTTAGAAAAAGCTAGTGTAGAAAAAAAAAAAAAAAAAGGAATGACAAAAACAAGTAAAATGCTATAGTCGCCTTATGGCAAATATTGGATACTTATCACCTGGGCCAAATACTTGATATGAAATCTCCCAAATTAACAGAGTTTCAATTTCCTGATATATGATAAATAACAAATAATATATCACGTAGTATACCAACAGTAGGAATAACTTTCAAACCATGCGGTATAGAGTACGACATACCATTCGTCATAAATGCTGTTCAATTGCTCAGATTTCTATCTCAATTATTACATCAATAGATGTAGTGAAGACGGACAGACAATTGAGTAGATAGAAGTTGAACTGGTTGAGAAGCTTATGCCGCTCATGTAAATAAATGTTTAAGAGCACTGTAAAGCTCAATTTTCGGAATGATGAATACATTTTTTTCTTTAAGTGATGAGTATATGTAATAATAATATACATATGTAAATATAAAAAAAATGGTTTTTCCTTTTGTATGATTCAGTGCTTGACTTATTTTCTAAGTAGATCATAAACAAAATAAAAAAAATCAAAACAATACACAATACATAAAATATTATTCTTATATATTATATATGTTATTTTTGCTTCCTTTTTTCATTCACTCTTTCTTATCCTTATTTATTTATTTATTTTTTTTTTCTTTGTTTTTGAAAAAATTTACGTTTATTTTAATATAATTTTTCATTCACTTGATTTGACCATTATCACCGCTACTATTCAGATTATTATTATTATTGAATATATTTTTATATAGACGATTAAAATAGAAATTTTTACCCAACACAGTTGCTCTTACACGTGAAGGATGTTTCAGTAATTCTCACAATGTTCCGCTATTGTTATCGCTATTATCGTCCTCTGTTAAAGAAATTGTGGCACAACCATTATTAATATCATCCACTAATTCCGATGTTCTGGTTGCTGTAGAATTAACCGCAGAATCGTCAATCTTGTTTAATGACTTTTTATTCGGTGATACTGCGAAATGCATTAAATTTTTATCAATAACATCGCTCAGACTAATCGGCGGTGTGGTCGTACTTAACGGTGTTGCCTCGCTTGAGAAACGGCTCGCATTACTTAAGCTACTTGTACTCAATTGATCATCAAATATATCCAAGTTAACAATTGTCGATGTGATATCAACGAAACCGTGGCTTTGCTTATTCAATTCATAAAAAGAACTTGTATTGTGCGTAGATTCTTGCATTAGTGCAGTATTATCCAAATTAAAATTATCGGTGCGATTTCTGGGGCTGCTTTCAGGCAAATCAGTCTGCAATTTTTGTTCTAATTGATTTTTATTTTCACCATCAGTTTCATCGATATGATCTCTTGATTTCAATTGAAAATCTGCAATATACAAATTAAATTTGTATTTAAAAACGAAAAAAAAAATAATAAACAATAAATAAATAAATAAATGAAAAAATATCTTTTATTATATATTTACATTATTGCGTTATGGTATAAAAATCGGGGATCATTTTTCTTTCCCTTACGCTATCATTTAGTGCTTTACCATTTCAATTTAAATGCCATATTAGATATATGTAGCAATTTAGCGAAAGATAAATTTAAGAGGAGGCGAGATACTCCAAGTCGATTTATGGTCGAACTCTGAATAGTAGAAATCTTTGCTGTGATGATAAAAAGAACTCAAAATTGGAGTAAAAAGTCATGCATCGCTATTTTGCTATTCTAGGTGGTAGACTTCTGCTATGAATGAGTGGAAAATTGATTTCGTTGCTATGATAGCAGAAATGGGATCTTTGCTACAAGATTCTGACAGTATTTGAACACAATTTTCTATTATCTCTGCAGTGCTACTTACTATGACAGAGTTCGCGTCATATTGTAATTATATTGCTGGCCACGGCACCCACCATTAAACATCGTACACCACGCTACACTTATTCATACAATGATTTTTTAAAATAAGGGATTATATGGGATGCAGTCGAAAAATCGGCTCAGTTCGAATCATTTGCAATAGCGTTCGTCCTTCGACCAAAACATGTCGGTGTGCAAAGTTTCATCAAAATATCTCAAAAATTTGCAACCTGCACGTTTCATACAAAAAACCAGACAGACAAGCTTAAATCAATCCTGGAAATGATCCCAACCGATGACGACCATGACCATGATGAGTGCAATAAAAGATGTACCACAAACAGTGTGGGGTATCAACTATATAAGTGAATATATTAGTCACTTTTGCTGCATTAATTGTTAAGCAAATATTTCTTAAATCTGTACTTTTATTTGCTTTCAATCTTCAATTGGTACTTTTACAGTGATATACTCTGCAATTCTTTAAAGCAGCATACAAATCAATGGTTCTTTCTTAATTTTATTTTCGTTGCTCATTTTTCCAATTCTTTATTTATATTGAATTTTCTGCGTTCAATTCTTTTTTTATTTTATTTATGCGAGATTATGGCTCTTCATACTGAACATATGTTCCATAAGTATCCACAATAGCAAATCTGCAGAGAATTTCAGTTTTTTTATTTTTATTATACTGGCGCAGTTTTGTTATTCAGAGTTAGGCCGTTAGTTACCATAATTTGGATGATTGACAACTAAATTTAAAATCTTATATGCTAAAGACTAAAGGCATTTAGAAAATCGGTTATCCTATTTAATAATTAATAAGAAGGAAGTTATATTCGATTTGGTAGGAAGTCTTCTAATAAAAATGAGTAGCCTACGTCCGGTGTTAACTTGCAAGTAATCAGATAAAGTAGATTTACGAGGACTGGATTGTTTTGTTGATTCTAAACTCATTGTCTGTGTCTCTAATACTTCGCCACCTTACACTTAAGATTATTTAATTAAACCGGATTGCATAGTTATGTTTTCTTCTGTAGATGAATTAATCATAACAAAGCAAAGATTTCAATTACTTTTAAGAATTTCAATTAGAATATAAAATATTGCTACGAAATAAAAGAAGCGATAATTAATATATAAAAATACGATCGATCGTCCAGCTTAATTTGGTACAATGGTATAGATAACGGTATGGTTCGCTATACTCACTTAGAAATAATTAGTTAGTAAGATCATAATTATATTCACAAAACATTATATCAGTCATTTTACGTATTTAATAGTTGTTCTAAAAAATATTGATTTTTTTTTTTTTGTTTGTAATACGTACGAAGAACACAATATTAAATGGAGTAAACAATTAATCAATTAACTATGTAGGACAAATACATACTTCATAATCCGTTCATCCGCCCTTGTCGGATTTTCCCATCAATCACACAATTATCAGTGTAAATGTGTATTTGCCATTAGGAAATATTTTTGACATTTTGCTAAGTCTTTCCATTACAATCCACTTTCATCTTACACATAATCTGCGTTTGAGGTGTATACAAGTATATCGTTAACGAGGACGACGCAGTTAACTGGTTAATCGTACCGAAAATTACACGTCACTATTTGTTTTAATAAAGTAAAACGAACGTGTTGCTTTGTTTTTTGGTTTTTGTAATTTTTTTTTTATATATTTTTTCTATATATATTTTATTGTTTTATTATTTTTAAATTATTGTAATTTTTTTCTTTCGTTTTCTTTTTTTTTAGTTCATTATAATATATAGTTAATTGATACTTTTTGAAATTCGTTAATATATACAGAACGTAAACTAAAGTTTGGCAAAAATATATTTTAGGTGAAAGTAAGCTTTAAAAAAATTATAATCGGAAATACTGCATAAAAATTTTCACATAGTAGAATATTTAAATAAAACTACAATAATAAATTACTAAAGAAAGAAAACAAATTACCATTACGTCAAACTTAATATTAACGAAAAGAAAAAAAATCTCAAATAATTTATTGAGTGATGCTTTCTTTCTTGTTTTCTATTTCACTTACAACTAACTGCACTTAATAAATATTTTTGTATTTTCTTATGTATTTTTTTTTAAATTATATTGTATAAGCTATACGGAGACGTAAGGTATTATTATTAATAACATTTTAAAAATATTACTTCATATATAGCTTTAAATGAAAACAGTTTGTGACGTTTTATTTATTGTAATAATATATACAACACTTTTTGTGTATAATTAGTTTACTTAAACTATTTGAAAACGAATTTAATAAACTTAGTAAATAATGCCCCCCAAAGTATGTTACAAATTTGATTTATAGCATTATCTATAAAATATGCTACATGTATGTTAAAATTATAATCCATAAAGTATACTAAAGTTTATTGCTGGAGTTTTGGCTTCCTTTAAGCTTTCTCATTTCATTATTGCTTGATTATCTTTAGCCGATTTATGAAGTTCTTTTGTTTCTTCTTCTGTAGCCTTATAGACTATATAGCAATAATAGATAAGCAGTAAAGAAAAAATACCCAGCAAACAGATTGCTAATTCTTATCTCCTGCGCCGTTTAGTTTTCTTTTTTGAAGCCCCACTTTGTGCAGCCAATAAAGTCAAAGGTGTCATACCACTGATTGTCGTTGTGTTAATTGCAATTAGAGAGTCATCATGTTCGGATGATCGTTCCACCCCTCCAATTTCTACACCACTTTCTTCTGCTGAAGATGTAGACGACGACGTGGCCGCCTCAATGGCTGTCATCAAATTAAATTTGCGTTCCAATTTTTTCGTTTTAATTTTATGAGTGGTAGGAGCCGGCATAGTGAAAACATTATCATCTGATGTCGTAGTTGGCATTGGTTCCTCACTATCCGTAGTAGATTGTCCTAGATTATGCACCGTTACGGGATTCACTGTGAAACTATCATCCAGCAAAGCTGTTTCCATATTTTGAGCCGATCTTGGCAGTTGCTCAATTTGAGATTCGGTCATAGCTATTAAGGGCCTTAACTCCTCGTCATCTTCTCCTCTCAACACATTTTGTTTTTCTTGTTCTTTTTCGGATTGTTGCTGCTGCTGTTGCTTTTTGCGTTTTTGTTTTTTGGTTAGTTTTTTTTCTCCTTCTACAGCGACAATCTCTTCTGAACCGGAGGAATGGGCTGAACTAGAACATTTCTCATTTGTAGTGTTGGTATTTGTGGTAGTAGTTTCTTGAGAGCTCTGCTCTAAACTCATATAAGGATCTTCATTTTCAGTTAGAGATTTATAATCAGCCATTGAGGCCTCCTCTAAGGCCGAAGAAGAGCGAGTGGATGACATCGTAGGTGAAATGTCAGGTTTTTCGGGCGAATTGCGTACCTGCTGCTCATTTTCATAGTGTAGCGAACCACACAAAGCATAAATTAGATTTTGCTCTGTAAAATTTCGCGCGGGAGGAGTAATTTTACGTTCCACTGCAGGATTTTCTTGTACAGGACTCTCAAAATTAATTAAACTGATTTCTTTAATACAAGTGGTCCTATTATCCACAATTAACTCCAAAGGTTCTAAAGAAGGCAATGGAGGCAAAGGCTCCAGTAATTTTAAACTGGGAAACTCTTCAAATTCTGGTAAGGGCTTTTTACTTTTTTTAGTGTTTGATTTCGACGTACTAAATGATTCCTTTATATCCTTGGGTGTAGGCAACTCGGGAAGTAATTTTTCAAAATTTGAAGTTTTTGAAGCTCTATTTATTGTCCCTAAATTGGGATATTTTGGGCCATCTTGGCGACTTAAACTTTTAGTAATGATATCTGCGCCACTAAGACTTTTCCTAGCGCTTGGTGGTGGTGAATCGATACTTGCTGTAGTTTTTATTACTTCCAGTGATTTAATTACTTCGCCGCTATTGGCATTCTTACCACCAATAACTTTTATATCCCCCGTCTTTGAAGGATTGCTGTACAATAATTCTCTTTTGCATTCTGTCATTTCCGTCTTTTTCATTTCCTGTAAATTTAACTTTGGATCGTTTGGCTTAATCGTAGTGGTCTCTGGCTTAGCGTTATCCTTTCCTTTTTTTTTAGGCGATGTTGGTGTATTTATTTCGGTTTTAGCCACTTCTTTTTTTTTGGGGGAACTAGGCAAACCTGCCGCTGTCTCCTTAACAGTCGGTTCAATTCTCTTTATATTTGTTGTCTTTTCGGACTTTTCACCATTTTTCTTATAGGACATGTTTTTATCTTTAGTTTTATCTATACACTCAAGATCTAAGGTTTTTGAATCTGCTTTCTTTACTTGCTGATTCTGCTTTTCGTTTTCATTACTCGCTTTGCTTTTTTCAAAAGTTTGCCTTACCGCCTTATCGTTGCATTTTGTTGTCTTCATCTTCGGTTCTTTAAGCGCCTCTTTATAACTTTCATCGTATGGAATTGGTTCATTTGAAATGAGCCCTGTTTCGTTTTCTTCGATTTCTTCATCTAATGAGTTCTTTTCTTCAATTATTTTACACTCATGCACCGCTGTTTGCGATGTTGTGGTTTCTACTGTTTTCACATTAATTTCCTCTGGTATTGTTTGTTTTAGATTGTCATTCTTTGTGGATTTGCCGGCATTGATTTTTATTTCCCCCCTTTTTTTTATATCTATCGATGCGCTTATATCAATCTTTTCGACCTTCTCCTGTTTAAGATGTGCGTCTGATTGCTTTGCTTCTTCAACGGTCTGTATACTCGTTGATTGTCTCTTTTGCATTTCTGTCAGTTCCTTATTTTTATTTTGCATGGTTTCTTTGATCTTTCGGTCATCCTTTTCCGTAGCTAGACGGGTATCTTTATCTTTCTTATCTTGTTTGTTTTGAAATTCATTCTTTTTGTAATCTCGTACATAACTGGTCATTAATGAATCTTCGTTTTTCTTTTGCTGGCTGTCACATTTTTTGGCATTCTCCTCATTCTCTGGCTTGATGAAAGTTTCAGTCAATTCTGGTTCTTTCGCATCATCTTTGACTTCACCTTTGCTTGCACTTCCCCCCATTTTCGTTTGCTCATCTTCATTGGAATTAATCTTTTCGGCTCCCTTTTCCTCATGTTTGCCAATACTTTGATAAATTTCTTTCACAGTAGCTTTTTGCTTGTTCTTTCTATCGGAACTTTCATTCATTTTCCCTATTTCTTTACTTAAGTGACTTTGCTCTTCCGTTCTTTGCGTCTCCTTTTCGTCAGATGACTTGTCCTTTTTGTATGATTTGTCTTTATTTTCGTTGTCCTTTTTACGTTCTTCTGTTTTAATAAAACTTAGAAACATTGCATTGTCTTCGACAATTTGTTGTTTCCTTTCGAATGGATTATCTACCAGATGTGTATAACAATCTGACGAATCACTTGACGATTTCTTTTTTCTTAATAATTTTTTTACTTCAATAACGTCTTCAGCTTCCGAACTTGAACCGGATGACTTGCAATTCCTCTTTTTATTTTTTTTCGTTTTCCTTGCAGATTCTATGCCTACACCAAAGGGTGCTACCACTGCCTTTTCAAGATTTTCTTTTACTGATTGCTCCTTCATCTCATCAATATCGATGAGACTATCAACCAAACTTTGAGCACACACTTTTTCAGTTTTAATTAAAGATCTTTTAGTGATTGGTGATTGGTCTTGCGATTTTTCCATCTTTTCGTTTGGGGAGGTTGTGGGTTGCTTTTCTTTTATGGCAGTTTTTTTTTGTTATGTATAATTCTGTATTAGCGGCAGTCTGTGGTTGCGTCGATATGGTTTCCATGTGCGAAATAGCGGTTTCTGGCAATTGTGGGGGTGGGGGATTTTCTTTGTCACCAATATTTTTCTTATCGGCCGATTGTAACGCTGCCCCGTTTTGAGCACATTTTTCTAAGCAAAGTTCTGTTTCTTTCTTTTTGTCACAGTAATCTTTTATAGTGTCCGTATCTTTTAACGATGATTTAAGAACGATATTGTTTCGAACATTTACTTCTATTTTGGAAACTTGTTCCGATTCATTTTTCCCAAATTTTGCCTCAAGTTTTTCGACTTTATTTTGAGGTGGTGTCTTGATTTCAACATTTTCCATTAATTGTATTTCTTGGCTTCTCCTTTCTTCAGGTTTTTGTTTTAGGCTTTTTTCAACTTTTTCGATATTTTCTTGTTTTTCTTGCTTCTTGACATTCTTTTCTTCAACCATGGATTCTTTTCTAAGTTGTTTTGTTTCAGAATCTTCTCTAATATTATTGTTTTCCTTTTTTATTATATTATCTTTCGGCTCTTTTTCTAATGCAGGCGAACACTTTTCTTTATTCAAACTTGATAACTCTTCAAAATTACTATGGTCTCTCTGCCTAATAGGACTTTCTTTGGGGAACATTTTTCTTGTTTTTGCTGCTAAGGTCTTTTGTTTTTCCTTTTTACTAAGCTCTTCGTCTACTTCTTTAGCTATAACCGGCACTATTAACTTATTGCCTATTACTTCGGGGGGTTTACAGAGTTCTTGATTTTTACGTTCTTCTTCTTCTGTTTCTTCCAAGTTTAGCTGTTGCTTTTTCTCATCGCAGAATATGGCGACAACTGGCCGGAATAGGCTTTCATCACAATTCTCATGTATTACTGCCTCTTCGGCAGCCAATTGTGAAACAACTTCATCCAATATATCGGTCTTAATATCGACACTAAGACATGAATTCACTGTTGTTACGGTACCCAAGGGATTAACAATTTTTTCTATAGAAGCTTTAGATTTTTTATCCATCAATAACTCATAATCTAATTGCGGTTTGTACGAATGTATATTCGGTAGAGCTGTGGCGAGAGCTGCAGCTGAAGCGTTACGGGCTATTATATAATCCTGATCATCGGCCTCTTCGTGATCGGCTAAAGCATCATAAAAGGGTACATTGTCGGCAACCGTGCTAGCGGTATCAGCGGACAAACAATTACTACCTTTGAGAGCAAATAGACAGAAAAGAGAAAAAAAAGGGAAGAGAAAACAAAAAAACATAAGATAAGAAAAGAGTGTTTTACACTTAAGGAAAAAAGCCAAAGGCAATGCAATAAGTCTTTTCTCTTCTTTTTTTTATCGGTTCATTTATCAAAAAATTTTTAACACGTAAAGTTAACGTTAATTAATTAACAGTTAAATTGGTGATTTTGGATTTTTTTCATAAAATTTTCTGTACATTTTGAAATTATTGTTGACTTTCAAAACAGTGCAAAAATCTACGTGAACACGTTTTCATCAAAAAAAAAAAGAAAAAAAAAAGACAAATAAATAAATAAATTAGAAAAAAAAAAAATTATAATAAAAATGTTATTTCAATTATTTAATGTGATTGTGTGTAAGGAAGTTGTTACAATTTAAAAGTTATGTAATTAAGCGCCAATATTAACGAACGAAAAAACATGCTCATTGATGGATTTAAACGTTAAAACGTATGTGAGAAGCTTTGAAACTTTGAAAATCCGTTTTTTTTTCATTATTGTCTTTCTTATTAAACGAAACCAATAAATATAGCATCAAGTATCGTTTTAGACGGAATAAAAGACAAAAAAAAAATTATATATTTTTTTTGCAGATTTATATATGTATATGTGTTTGTGTTCCAAAAAGCATTATATGTATGTGTGTGTGTTAGAAAAATCTTTGGCTTTTTTCTTGTATTCGCAATGATAGGTAAAACAACTCTGGCCTGAAAGGTCGCTTCTCTTATGCTCTTTGTCTTCAAATTTTCTCTCTTTATCTCTTCATCTTTCTCTCTCTCTCTCAATCTTTCTTTTATTCATTTTTTTGCTAATGTTTAGTTTGTTCAGTTTCCTCTTTTTGTATTTTTTTTTTAAGTCTCTTCAACTTATAGAACACTACTACTGGAGTATAGAAAAGGATTTGTGAACATATATACAAAGCTTTTCCCTTTAACAAGCTTTCTTGTTAAATGACGACTAGCTTTTTATTTATGCTAACTTTGACCTTTCGTATACTACTAATTAGTAAAATTTAATTTAGAAAAATATCGAAAGAAAAAAAAAATATATATATATATTTGAAATAATTACGTAAAATCAGAAATAAAGTAGTTTTTTTTTTTGTTTTTTTTGCTTAATTTTGAAAATTAAAATCAGAAAAGTTAGATAAACTTTATCATTTTCTTACAAGCCTAGGCTTAGGTGAAAGATTAGTTGATGCAAAAGCAGGTTGTGAGTCGAAGCAATGATAATTATATATATATATATATATATATATATATATATATATATATATATAAATATATATATAAAGTATATGTATATATATATATTTTATTATTTTTTTTTATAGAGAAATACCTAGTAAGAGGTATAAAAATATTAAGAGTGTGTGCGGGCGGCAACAATCAGGGACCATGATAACGGGTAGGTGGTGATCTTTCGATATATATATTTATCATGTTTTATATTATTATTGTTATATCCTTTTATAAATGCTGCAAATTATTTTAAAGAAAAATTATAATAAAAGCATGCAATGCGTCAGGAAAGAGGATTTAAAAATGTACATTTTATTCATAATTGATTAATAATAATATTGCACACAAATCACACTAAGAAAGTACACGTAAAATATAAAATTACAATTTCTCCAAGTTCTGTAAATATAACCGTCACCAACATCTTAAAAGAAAGACCAAAAGCACAAAATAAGTCTACCCTTTCATTGTCGGATTCACGTGTAACAATAATAACCGGACAAATAGTTTGACAAATGCTAGTAATAACTGGAAATCATAAGATATTAACTGTTAATTATAATAATCATAACCTAACTGATGACAATTGTTGAAAATGTCTATTGTTCCATTTTTGGAATTTGCAAATTTTCATACGCAAATATAACTAACGAACGTAGAGAGTTTCTATAGTCAATAATAATGATCTAAAAAAAGTTTATATTCTGAAATATTTTACTCATACATACATATATAATACATACATAAACAGAGTCTTTCTGACATTAAAAAATTTCACATGATTTTCAAAGTAAGATCATTTTTTTTTTTTTTTTTTTTTTTTTTTTTTTGTTATTGAATGACTAGATGTGTAAAGCGGTGAACATGTTTTCTTTTCCTTTTAATTCTTCGTCGAATTAATAAAAAATTCGATTTTCTAGATTTATGCACCATTTTAACAAGAGATTATAGAAAATCAAAATCGAAAACGAACACTTTTAACAATACAATAGTAACTAAAGACACTTTTTTAGACAATTACAACAACGTAAAGAAAAGAATTAAAGGAAATTTTTAATTGCTTTTTGTGGAAATAAATTAAAGAATAAAGTACAGAATAGAGAAAAGACAAAACTGAAGACAAGGTAAAGAGCAGCAGAGAAACTTACCTTCTTTTTGAGTAGACGATCCAGAAGGTGATTCACGCATAGCATCAGCCAAATCCTGTTTTAGGCGTGTCTCACCATGTGTTAGGGAAAAGTCCGAATTTAAATGATCATGACGGAAGCGATCCATTAATTTGGGACTCTGTTCAATGCTGCCTGTAGAATATTGCGGTAAAGAGGCATTACAATCACAAATAATTGAAAGAAATAACAATGAGATTATGATTATGCTCTTACTATAAGAACCTGACTCGATGAGTACGGGCACTCCGCTCGAGCGATTAGGAGCTGTCAAAGGCATATTTAGAGGACTCGAACGTTCATGTCGTGTATTAAGAGCGGCAGCGCCGGCTGTTGCTGCTGCTGTATTGCTCTTTGATAGACCTATTTCCACTGCTTCTGTATCCACTAGACTTAAATTTGACCTATTCCAGGTATTCATTTTTTACAATCCTTTTACGCTTTTCAGTTCGCACTTACCCGCTTGGTGTATTATATGTTTTAAAAACAAATTGTGGGCCCATCCACAAACGGCGATGTGGACCAGCATGCGTCACTATTTCCACTTGCGATAGCCAGGAATCACCTCCTTCATCAATATCATCATATTGCCGGGTACTATCGGTTAACATGCAAGAGTTGCGATTTTTCATCAACCAATTGTCCGAAGCAAGTGGTGGCCTTATTTCATGGGAGCCTTCTCTACGTCTTCCCAAATTCCATTGGGCTTTAGCTTCTACAATTAATTCAATAGGAGTTTCGTCAGATACCTTCTCTTTGGCAACGGCTGCTTGAATAAAAAAGAAAATCCATAACTACGTTTTCAAAAAAAAAAAATATTTTGTTTTCCATTTTCACATACTTGAAGCAAGTCTTGTATCTAAGTCATATTGTATAAGAGCTCCATGACCAGCCATTACAAATAACGAGTCCACTGATTTACGTTGCACACGATGTGAAGCTTCGCGCGTTACATTAGGTGGATCTAGTAGCCATGAACGCGATTTAGCGAATATAGCACAAACACTCAAAGGTTTGCCATTGTCATCAGATAAGGAAGGCAAACGCTGTCGCTGAGATCCTGATCCCGTACCACTAGGCGTCGACTTGGAAGGTCCGCTTAAAGAAGCCGAACCGGGTGGACTTCCTAAAGCAAAAGGTTGACGCAACTGGGCCAAAGGAGTAGATAACGTAGGCCGCGGGAATGGGGGCAAAGTCGGATTGTGGTAAGGTTGTAAACATTGAGTGAAAGTGGTGCTCTCCGAATGTGATATGGGTGAATTGGAACGCCCATCAGCCGTAAGTCCAGCAGAACGATGAAAACGTGACAACTTATTTACCACATGCAAAGATGAATGTGTTCGCGTCCCTACCGGGCCGCCATACGGTGTAATCGGGAATACATGGGTAGTACCTCGGAGCGTGGACACAGCTGCCCAGCGTGAATCCAATGAGAAGGCAATATTCTGCACTTTAGCAGTGGTATCTCCGCGATGTAGTACATAGAGATGATGAACAGCGCCCAGACTGGGTCCAACAGGATGTGGTTGTATCCGAAATACGTTAAACTGATGGCCACGACGATCGGCAGTCAATAGGAGCATGCCCGAATTATCAAATTCCATTGCCACTATGGCCTCAAAATGAGCTATAAAATGCACTATTATAGGATCACTGCCGACACCTTGATTGCTGGATATGGGCACACCGGATGTTGGACTAAAATCTCTGAGGGAATTCTGTAATTACATCAAGTAATTTAAAGTTGAATATGTTGTCAGAAAAATTTTCTTACAATTCAACTCACTTTAATATCAATAACGGTCACAATACCGGCTTGTTTAGAATCCCCAGTCGTTGAGGAATCGAATGAACTACTTTTTGAACTACTCACACTGGATGTGGTACCAGTTAATCCGGCAGCTACTTGCTCACCTAATTCTCGCAATCCTTTCCCAAGGGATTTGGCAGCATTTAAAACAGTAGCCTTATAACTGGCAACACTTTCACCATCGCATCCACCACTGCTACGCTTAGAAGGTAAAAGTTTATGCTCAGCGTACGCCAACCAACGTGGTCCTAAAGCCACAGGATTAGGATTTATTCTAAGGCGGAAAGGTAAATTCAATATTTTTAAACTACTTTTCAAAAATTCAACTAACCCTGGACTTGGATAGCAAGTGGTAATCGATAGACGATCTTCTAGAGTGCGGGCATCAAAAATGGCTATACGTTCATGAAAAGTAATCACAATTGAGGAGCGATTTGCCAAAATATCAATGACGGGATTTTTGAATTTTATCGTTTTTACTTGTGCGCTTGTTTTAAGGGAAATAAAATTTACTGCACAAAACTGAGGCTGTGCTCCTGAGGAAAGATTACTGTCAACCACAGCCATTAGTGGACGTTTCTCGGTAAAAGCGTCAATCAATTCATCAGCACGGCCATGGTCCTCCGTTGTCATAGATAAAGAAGGTGTAGGTAATATTCTTAAAGCTGTCACTTGACCATGACGCCAGGAAAGAACTTCTACCGCCTCACCATTGGCTGGAATAGCCCAAACTTGTATACCCGAACCGTAACCAAGTATAAGCAAAAGTGGCGGTGCTACATTCCCGTCTAATTCCCAATCTTCTCCATAACGTAAATCACTAATATCGGCCGCTGTTTCAAATCTAGCCCAAGTTATTGTGTCTTTCGGGTCAGTATGTGGCGGAGCCATAGTGACTTCATTTATAAAACCTATAGCCGATTCTAATATGGATCTATCAGTCACTACTTGAGGAGATACCATGGCAGGTACGCATGTACCAGCACGTGAGTTATCATATGAAGTACGTCTCGGTGAATCGGCCGACATATTTATTATATATTTGGCAATTTTTCAACGTTTGCGTTCACAATTGCTATTTTTCAAATCTCTCTTTCGGAGTTCAGGGAAAAACTCCAAGAGAGTGAAAAAATCTTAAATGAAGAACGAAATGAACGAAACTTCTCACTCTTCCTCTCTGACGATATTTAGCAGCTCAACAGGTTTTACTGCTGCCAGCCACGATGCGTTTTGTTAGAGAGAAGAACGTTATTGAAAGAAGCTAAGCTTTGCTTTCTTTCCCCTCGCGCCTCTCTCCCTCCCACTCTCTCCTCGCCTTCGCTCGATAAGAAATTGTAGACACACCGTCTGCTGTGAAATCTTTCTCGTAGTTTATGCAATATAAAATTGTTGTCGTACCTGTTGGCTTTACATATAACCTGCCGTTCTGCTGCGCTGTTCTTTCTGAAAAGAAATTCAAATTGAACACATTAACAAAGTGAAAACAATTAAACAAAATAAAAGGAAGAACAAAAAATATGCACATGCATGCGCATCAAATATTTTCTTTGATCTTTTTTCGTTTTTTTTTTTTTTTTTTTTTTTTTGCTTATGATACTCATATATAGTGCTATGGTATTCAAAATGCACTTGTTTTCATATATATTGTATAATACTTGAGTTTTTCTTACTTTCGTAGCAAATTATTTAATATTGCAAATTATTTAATATATATGTACATAGATGATGCTAAAAAGACTTAGCTTGGGAACGGGATTGCATCTGTTGTAGGGGCCGCCTCTCAAGTATTAAATACAAATATTATAATTAATTATAAGTGTGTGCGAACAACTAAGTAGTTTATTATAACCAACCAGGTGTTTCTCAGCACAAACGAGTCACTTGTTTATTTTTAATTTCATTTATTCACTTTTTTTTTTTTTTGATTATAATATAAAATAAAAAAAATTCATATATAAGGAAATTTTTATTTATAATTGAACTATTGCAAAACTTATATTTTTATTCCACAACAGAGGCGTAAAACTCTTGTCTGAAGCGATATCATATTATTTATCATTTTACTCAAAATATATATAAATATAACGAATTCATTTTTATTGTAGTAAAGCAACACAACTCCAAGAAAAAGTGAAATAAATCAGAGATTTTCTATCAGCTTCGCTTCTTTTGCCAGCAAAGTTTCTTTTCTTCAAAATTTCTTATTATTAAGGTTGCACTCAATGCACTCTAGGCATCATTCGACAACCTTTGACATAAACCTTTCTTAGGCGACGGGAAGATTTATTGTACTTATATTAAGCGGAAATTGATTTGAATTCCAGTCAGACGTGAACGTGAGAAATGCCAAAGTAAGCGAACCAAGTGCATAGTTTGCAAACTGATAAGGTTTAAGTACGACAACATATAATAATGCATTTCATCGGTTTATTCCTAAACGTTCTTATACCCATTACCGAGAGATGAGGGGTGTAGTCGTTTTGACAAAACGTTTGCAACACTCAGAATGAAGATTCAGAGATCCCATGATGTCTGCATATTCTTGATCAACATCAAATTTTAATTCGATTTAAGCACGCTCGTCTGTCCGTCTGTGTACATTCGCCTAGCCGCATACATGACGCCTTCGGCTTTATTTGTGGCAGGAAGATTGAAATTTCTTACAAGCAGGTTGGTATTGAAAATGGACCAAATCGGTTAAAAGTGACGTCTACGGTACTATCTAAGATAACGATACATCTCGTTTTTTGAGAGGAATATAGGATTTTATCCATCATCTATAAACACACCATGTACACTACAATAAATAAATCTACAAAGATTTGAACGTATATTCTATGGGCTGTAGCACGTGTACAAAAATGCAAAACAAGTGGGCCACGATTTCTGAATTTTGCAGTGTATCATAATTTCATATTTTTTCAAAACCGTTTCAAATTCAGAAGGCACCTAGCCATCTCTGTCCATCATCGGTTCATAAGCTGCTGGCCGAGACATATTCAAGGGTCTTTCATGTGTTACTGCCGTATGTTGCACATCTTATCGTCATAAAACTCATTTTAATAATAACAATTGACGATGAAGCGCATGTAGACACGTTTTCGTTAATTTCCTCGCAGGTGAGATCGTTAAATTCATTCTACTTTTCTTTTGATATTTTGAATTATCAACATCTATCATATAACTTTAAAACAATAATCTTCTCATTAGAGGTTTTACTTATCTAGAAAGTAAAAAGAATTGTTTTCGGTCATTTACCGGTGTTGGTACCTTTGTAGCTAAGATCATTACAACTCCTTTTTAATCTGCAAGAGTAGCAATGTTTACACTATGTACTATTGCAGCAGGTCGTATCTGGCAATGCCTATAGCTATTCCCAATACCGCTTTTGGTGCAGAGTGTATTAAGTTCGTGCGAGAGTATGCAACACCCAGGAGGGCTTCAGATGGACCCCTTATATGCTGATCGATTCAGAATTATTTTCTAATCGATCCAAGCTTGTCTTTCCGTCTATATGCTTGGTGTCTGTTCATGTAGTTTTATGGTTATCCTATAAGTGTCAATTTTTGAATTATTTGGTGACACTTCCTACATTGCTGTGTTTTGACAAAAGGAGGACGCTTCCTGAATAACGTCTCATTTTAAAAAATCGTTTTATAAAACTCATTGAGTAATAGTACTTGAACGTTTTGAATTGGTATGAAAAGTGTAGTTCAAATGGGTAAAAATTTAGGAACCCCTTCTCATAGTACCGAGATTCAATTTTCAATATTCTATGGTGAAAACTGAGTCATACCAGTAATTTTGACAAAGAAATCGACATTACCGAATTTGGACTATTTAGGTCAATTTTTTGGATACTATGAAGGATGCAAAGAGTCTCAGGAAAAGTAACCGCTTATACGCCAAAAATGTCTAACTATAAATATTTTTGATGAAGATGACAGTAATTTCACATAAAAATCAATCGGACCAAATGCGAACTATTTGCGTTCAATTCTAATAAGATTTCTCATGAATACTAAGCAAAGTGGCTATGGAAAAACATCCATATTTGAGATTACAATGCGGCCAAACTAGTTGCAAATGTTACCTGTATTCACCTATGTACACTCATTTTTCGTGAACAAAAAATTGTGGAAAATAGTTGGGCTTTTTTGAAAGTTGTCATGAGTTGTCCACAAAAATATTTTTTGTTTTTCAGTATCGACGGAGTAGACTTCCAAATTCAACTATATCGCAATTTTAAATATTTAACGTAATCCTAACAGAGCTCTGTTCAAGAAAATATTAGGTGTCTTTGGTAGTTAAATTCGAATTTATCTTCACAGCCTTTAAATTCATGTAATCTTTCCGTTGTAGCCATCGAATAGTGATTTAAAAGACAGTTTTCCCGCGCCCAAATATTCAGAGAGAATAGCGCACCTTGTCATCTTTGGAAGGTCAGCTAATGCTTGATGTTTCACTTTTGGATTGACGAAAATGGTTTTCACTCTTCTTTGGAGTTCTCTTTTGGACGCTCGCTGCGTTCAGTGTGATCAGTTGCTTGACGCGTTCGTTTCAAATCAACCGACTGCACCGACAAATTGTTGTTTTCGACATAGTACTTGTCAACCCAACGCCGAATCGGAACTGCCTCTTTTTTGCCTTAAAAAAAGAAGTTTGCTCATAAGACAAAATTCGGATTTAGAAGATTTAGAATATTTCCACAATATTCTTTTGCGTAGCACTCGTTCAAGGCATCAATGGTCTCTGAAGATGTTATAATTGCTAAAGTAAGTTCGTTAACTCGCCCTCTTTAGAACAAATTATCTGTTAGACTTACTTATGTAAGCAATCAAAGTCCTGATATCTTTAAGTAGATAATAGAAAAAATACATGCTCCTGAAACGTTCCAAGTCGAAAACTTTTTATATTTTCCGAGAGCAGTAAGAAACCATGACTAATGTGGTTGGGTGAATTCTAATAGTTAGTGGAATAACATAGCAAACAGTGCTATCAGTAAATACGACACAATTTGCTGTTTGTAAATAAAAAATTGCGTAGTATTAAGAGATTTGGTGTAGTAAGAAAACAATAGCGAGCCACAACAATAATATGAATATCAACAAATTTTTTCGTTTACCTGGATTATGATAAAAACAAAGTGTTTGTTTTTATTTTCTATATAAAAACAAAACAAGTCAAGGTTTCAAAAAAAATTTTTATGTCGCGCAACGACACGCATATAAACAAATCAATTGTTTATCATTTTTACGGAAAGCAGTAAATAAACTGCGAAATGAGAATTTAGCAAAAACATAAATAATAAACCAAAACAAGTAAGAGAATTATTTTCGGCTGTGACCGAATCTTTTATACCCATCACTGTAATAAGAAGGAAAAGAATTAAATTTTCATACTCTATAATATTGGTTGGGCGTGGCCGAATATTTTTATATTTATCGAGTAAAAGTGTAAATTTTGTATCTTGTGTCCTTTGCAGTTTTTGAGCAAAGAGCAAAAAACGAGAACAAATGTAAGGATGTTTTCACTGTTTACTGCATCGTAGGCCTGTCCTCAAACAGGTTTAGATCATTTTCAAATTTTTTTACATATTTGCAAGCGATATCTTCATTTTTGTGGCGGAACGAGAGAGCGTCAATCACAAATACTACGCCATAAAGATGGACAGATGGCCAGACTTATGGGCTTAAATAGACGCCGAACTTGACATTAGTCAAAAATGTGTATACATTATGGACTTTTCGAGCCTTGCTTCTCTGTATTGTTAAGGTGCTGACAAAAAAATGAAATTTTGATACACTACAATATCGCGTAAGCGTGGTCGAGTTTTCCGATTTTGGACAGGTATTGTAGCATCGTTCAAAAAACGTACGTTCAAACTTTTATGAGCTTGCCTGCGGTAGTTTGTGAGTTATAAGCAAAAAAAAAAAAATTTATTTTTCTTGAAAAATTTAGGTTATTTCAGTTTTCGTTTTGCTGTAGGCATGTCTTTCGATCCATTTGGCCCATTTTCAATACTAACCTATGCATAAAAGCTTCAAACGTTTCTGCCAAACAATAATTTTGAATATATTTTTTGTTGTATTTCATCATAATGTTATTTTTTATATATATATTATTTATATTATGTATACATACATATACCGTTATTTTGTGTATGTAAATATAAACTTGCAGCTAACTGACTTTACTCTTATGTATATTTTGAACATAATTTCATCATAAAATTTTACACTTTATAATACGATACACATTGTCATGATTTAAGTTTCGTACAGCAGGATTTCGACATGACACCGTCAAGTTACCGAGATAACACAGTGCAAATTGCCACAATAATAATTGATATTTTGACAATTTCGTAGAACATTCTTTCGGTTATAAACACAAATAAGGTTTAAGTACAACACGGTACACGGTCGCCTGGATTTATATTA